TACTTGCTTTTATACACAGTTACACGCATAAAATAATGCTATTGATTTGTTAATTTATGATTACATGGTCCTGCTAAGCATCATAAGACTTGCACGTGCAGACTTTGAATCATGAATGACTAAGTTTTAACTCCTAGCGTATAATGATGATGCAAAAACTAAGATTGACGTATGTAAATCAAGTTTCTTTAGGTTCCTTTCCTCTATATTATGATATATTAAGTTATAAAAATGTTCTCGTTATTCTAAAAAATATATATAAATTAAGTTTCTCTTGAAACTTGAGATTTTTTTATTTGATTTTCAAGCCTTTTCTTTTTTTTGAACCTTGTTGTAAGGCTTGTAGTCTATTCTAGAATAAAAAACAAAAGGAATATGAATCCAATTGGAGCTAAATAACTCTAACAAAAAGCGAAAAATTAAAGTGAAAAGGGGCACAATAACAAGAACAAAAAAAAAAAACAAGATGACGTAAAAATAACCTAAAACAGAAAAGAGAGAGATCAAATAAAGTTTGATCAAGTTTTAACTCCTAGGATATAATTACAATGTTGCCAAATAAATTGACATATATAAATCAAGTTTGTTTTCTTTGAAATGTGTAAATCGAGATAGAATTAAATAAATCTCCAAAAAGCAGGAAATTTATGATGCAGAACGAGATCAGAGCATGTCCGGCCTCAAGACCAGCTTCAAGTCCGGCCCTGGATTTCATCGTGCGTAGCTTCAGCGATAAATAGGGATATATAATTTTTCTATTTTAATTGTATTTCTTTTTCTTTTTAGTTTAGAATTTATCACCTATAAATAGGGACATACCTAGGGCTTATTTTATCAGACTTTTGACAAATTATTATCAAACTTTAACGCTTTTGTGTTGGATTAATTCATATTTTTGAGTGCGCTCAAGTGGAGATTCTTTTAAAATCTTGTTTGGGTTTTGGATTGAATCCTATTTTTCTTTAGTAAGTTGATCGTATATCATCCTTGATTTATTTATCGTGAAGGGCATTCGTGTAACCCCTTCATCATATCATGTTTTTGTGCTGCGTTAGATGATATCAGAAGAAGTTTCTCCCGCGACAACCATTGATGGACATCACCATCCCTTGGATCGCGAAGAAGAGGGTGATTGTACCTGGAGAGTTGCTCACGACCGCACCCTTATTCATTGCGGTCCGCATCAACCTCATCGATAGACAGACTATGAGTCATAATTTCAAATGAAGAAACTTTGGGAAATTTTAATGGATTAAACCCTAATCCTAGGGAGAACTTTCATTAAAACCTAGAGAAATCAATTATTTCAAACCAGGAGAATTCTTACTAAAGTTTTTAATTTAGTGATTGACAATGGTGGCTCTTCAAATACTGTTTCTAAAAAATTTGTTGATCAATTAAAATTATCTGTTAAAGAGCATTAGAAACCTAATAGGGTTAGTTATATACAAGGGGTTGAACTTGTTGAGGATAGGGTTAGTTGGGTACAAGAAGTTGAACTTGTTGAGGTAATTGCAAAAAATGTTGTGTTCCACTTTCTATTGGTAAATATTACGATGAGTAAGTCTGTGATATTATGGATCTAGATGCCTGTCACTTGTTGCTTGGTAAGCTTTGGCGGTATGATGTAAATACAACAGATAGTGGATGTGATAATATTTATCTTTTTGTCAAATATGGCAAAAATATTGTCCTCATGCCATTGAAGCCGAGCTCAGAATCTAAATCCGGTCAGTTGATTGCAGCTAATTTGTTACCTGCACATTTGGATTGTAATTTAAATATAAGTATAAAGGAAGTTGAAGGTGCCAAGGCAGTAAAATGAGGTTCCTAATTCAATCGAAGAACCCCAAGTAAAGGCACTTGGGATTCTAAATGATGAAAATAAAAGACCTTTTTAGGGAGGTTGAAATCAATCAAGTTCCTCCAATTGCAAATCCACCACCACCTTGTGAGTTATCCATCACACCCACGAAATCAATTGTCTTCTCGGGCCAAGAAAATATAAGTATTGGTGAAATGATTATGTTTGATAAATTTTTTCCTGTTGAATATTTTCTTGTGAAAATTGAGCATGAAGAGAGTTCCTCATCAACCAGGGGACAAATCATAAAATTTGTTTGGAGAATAGAGAAGATACTGAAGTTGTTGGATTTGAGATCTTCTCAGGATCGTATGCAGTTTCCTATGTTCATAACTAGTGCGAAAGTTTCGTCGCAAGCATCGATCTTACAAACTCTGAGGAAGGATTGTGGGATTATTTGTTCATATATGTGTAAAGAATTTCCTCCGGATTGATTTAGAATGAGATCATAGCATGTCCGGCCTCAAGATCGACTTCAAGCCTGGCCTTGGACTTCGTTGCGTGCAGCTTCGTGATTTTAGTCGTTTTCCTATTTTAGCTGTATTTTCTTTTCCTTTTTAGTTTAGAATTTGTCACCGGCTATACATGGGGGCATGTCTAGAGTTTATTTTATCAGACTTTTGACAATTATGATCAATCTCTAACACTTTTGTGTTTGATTAATTCTTGTTCTTGGATGCACTCAAGTGGAGATTCCTGTTGAATCTTGTTTTGTTTCTGGATTGAATCCCATTTTTCTTTGAGGAGTCGATCGTGTATTAGGTATTCGTGTAACCCCTTCATCATGTCACGTTTTTCTGTACCGTGTCAATTTGATTAGGAAGGGGAGCACAAGTCTTGTAAAATAATAATTAGCTTAGAAATTTAAGGTGCTATATCTTTTGGCATGCTTTAATTTAAAATTTTTTTTGATAAAGGTACTAAATTTATAGATTTTTTTATTCTGCATAAGTTGAAATTAAAAGGACTAAGCGTTGCCGGTCGTTGAGACCAATTAATAGAATAGCGAACGGTAAGGATTTCTTGTTCCATAATCATGATTGAGAAGCAGAGATGCTTCTTATGCAACCTCTCTCAAGAGGTCAAGGTCCTAATAATATATCCCTTTATCCTCTATCCGTAGTTTGATTGCTGCTTTATTCCTCTATCAATGGGTTTGATTTTTTTGCAATTGCATGTTGACCCTAGCAGCATTAAAAAAAGCCATTACGGCTAGGGGTAGTTAAGACGCGATTGTGACTCAAAATGGTCGGTAATGTAGGAGAGAAATACACTTTGACCTTGGCCATGCTTGACATTGAGAAGCTCACATTGGTCATGTGTGGGTGGAACTCATCGGCAATTGCCATTGGACCAAATTTAAACTAGCCTCTCGAAAACGCATAAATTAAAGCCCTAATTCCCATTATTAACTATTTGATGAAGTAGGTGATTATTATTTTTTTTTTTTTGGTCTTCAGATGACAAAGTTAATTGTAGTGAAGCACATTTTTTCCCATAAATTCAAATTTATTGTTGTCTTCAAATGAATTTAAGTATTTTTTTAAATTTTAGTGTAAGTGGAAGGTCTCCAATCAATCCTAAATTTTTCATTTACACTCGCTCCTTCTATGCTAACCAAATCATTCATCCTCGCTCGCTCCCTCCTCCTCCTGTACCATCCAAATCATTCGTCGTCCAGAAAATAATGGTAGAATTAAATAGCTTGTATACAGCATGAATGTCAATTCACATTTTCGACGCATTCTAAATTCTGCTCTAAGCACTTGGACTGCCTCCTTTCTATTGGGAACAACACATTATTCTTTCACAATCTTGTATACAAATACTAGCACTTCCCAAAAGAAATTTGAAGTTATAACCAATGGTATGATTTCAAAAACGTTGTTTATAAAAGCTTTAAAGTGAAAGTCTTGCCAAGCTTGCATGAAGATTCTTTTTTGTGTAAATCTATTATATTTGCAGAAATTAGTGCAGCTGTAAAAGGTTGTAAAAAGAAGTGGTTTATACATTGACAATGAACTACAATTAACAAGATTAGCATAATTTGGTAAACTGAGTTTTGTTCTAATCTATTTTGAACAGTTAAACCAATTCGACATATGCACACTGGCCCTCTTATTTTTTTTCCAAAACTATGATCATTTGACATTATAAGGAGGAAATTTTAAGCTAATGAACAAGTAATGCTCCTACCCCACCTAGTACATGGGCTCCTATTTTTATTTTTTTTTCATTCTCCTCCATGATGTAAATAAAATTAACAAAGAAACCATATTAGTATATTAGGCTAGCTATAGCTAGGAGAAGAATCCTAAATCGTGGAGTATAGTTGAAAGTGATATGAGGACGAGGGAAGACAAATGATTAATGTCAATGAAAAAATAATAGGACGATATAGACCACTTTGTCCCTATCTATTTGGAATGGTACACAAGGGCTTTTGGATTAATTTGATAATCACAATTAGTTTAAGTACCTATCATTAACTTATAGATTAGATAACAATAATGTTTTATATTTCGGCCGGTTCCAAACAGGGTTTTGCTGTTATAATATACCTTAATGAGATTGGTGGCCTAACCATCTTGACGGCTAGGATCATTTTACATTCTTTGCCACGCGGGCACCCAGGTAACCGCAATAGTCTGCACCGCTGGGTGACCAATAGACTAGTAATAATTAGTAAACCAATGCAAAGCTAATGCTAGAATGGTATCAAAAATCAAAACTACATATATCAAATATAATATGATTGTGACCAAAAAAAAAAAAAAAAAAAATCAAAGCCCAATTGGGTTCTGGAGGCAGTTTTTTTTTTTTTTTTTCCCTTAGTTTCCATACCAGCCTAATTCAGCATCTCCTTCCCTTGTAGTGTAGGAGTAAGGATAGACTGCTAGTATATATATATATATATATATATATATATATATATATATATATATATACCAATTCTTGAAATATAATGAATTAAAAATAGGTAAATTTGTTAAATTCTTGCATAACGTACAAATTCAACCATTTTAATTACAAAATCTTGCCACCACCTCTTCTGGTGGGGTGGGAGGTCAGGAGTTCAACCCTTGCCTCCCTGCAATATCGCTGACATTTCTAATCTCGACTTTCTTCTCACGGGCAAAAACGGCTGTGGCAGTTGGGACCCTTTCTTTCCTTGGGGCCTTCTTCCCATATTACACAGTCAATGATGAGGCTGTTTCTATGTTAGTATTGCTGGCATGTCAGATAACAAATTGTGTTTTCCTGCAAGGAAGTAATCCCTTCATGCTATTCATGTAGGGCATTAAAGGTCACTGCTTCTGTCCTTTCACCTACTGCCTTTGCTTTGGGATCGGTCAACTTTGCTGACTATGAACGTGCTCATGTTGGACTTCGTTGGAGCAACATCTGGCGTGTATGTTCTGTGCATTGTCATATTTCTTCTCCAAGACCATATTTCATAGTTTTAAAAGTTTTATGCTTTTCCAGGAGTCATCTGGAGTTTCTTTTTTGGTCTGTCTCCTGATGATGTTGTTTGACACAGTAGTGTATTGTGGAATGGGCCTTTACCTGGATAAGGTACATACTCAATAATTTGTCTGATTTCTGATTCTGCCAGGAGTGTGTGCACTAATATATCCATAAAAGCTGCTGTAATTGCTCTTTACAATAGGGCATCTCTACAAGTTGAACTGATCATTAGTATCCAATAGATTGTATTTTTTTAACGGGGTTGTCCTTTTTAATAGACTTTGTATCTTCATCAATATTTTGAGATTTTCCTTGATTAAGTTTTATTACACATTAATGATTAACTATTTTTTGATGTGTTCAGGTCCTTCCAAAGGAGAATGGCATACGTTATCCATGGAACTTCATGTTTCAGATATCCTTTTGGAGGAAGAGAAGTACCAGTGGTCGTTCCTGTACAGTAGAAAAATTAGCTGACCATCATGTAAAGCAAGAGACTAGTCCTGTTGAGGATGTACATAACCCAGCTGTAGAAGCAATGAGCTTAGAAATGAGGCAACAAGAGCTTGACAACCGGTACATGTGCTGCGTTTAGTTGCCCCTGTATTTAATCTTCAAACAAATACCTGTCATATGCCTCTGATTTCTTCAATTATTAATGTGATCTTTGTCTTTATATTTTCCAGATGCATTCAGATTAGAAATTTGCACAAGGAGTTTCTGACAAAAATGGGGACATGTTGTGCTGTAAATTCTTTGCAGCTAAATCTGTATGAGAACCAGATTCTTGCTCTTCTTGGTATTCACATTCACTTTATGTCAACATATGACATGTTTTATGAGAAAATTGGATCTTTTGACTTATATTTGCATTTGTAATTGAATCTTGTTATCTTCTGTTGTGCTTAACAAGATTGCTATTTTTTCTGAAGATGCTTGTGATTGATATTCTTCTGGAATGCTTGATGCTTATGGTTGCATCCCATTATATAGAATACAAGAGTTTGCACGAAGTGCTTTTCCTGGCACCAGTTAACTACAAGGCGTAGTGTTTCGGAAGTCTCTTTGACTTGGAATTGTTGATAGTTGTTTTGCTCCTTGAGACAATTAGCAGAAAAGATTTTATACCAATTTATTAAGGTCTGTCCTTGATTTTACTAAATGGACAAGGTGATGAGACCTCCTTTCCATGAATTCTTTATAGGTTGGATAGAGCAGAATTGCTCCTTCTATTTTTTTTTTTTGGAGAAAGTATGTTGTTCTTAGCTGTCTTTCTTAAAAGTTCCTGCTTGATGTGGCTCCTCTCGTTCAGGTGTGAAGAATCACATGCCAGGTTTTGGTCATTCCAAATAGTTAGAATTCAAGAGCAAGCCTTAGTGGTTAAGTAGTTCTGTTGTGAATTGGGAAGTCAAAAAGGTTCAAAGTATGGATATAATCTCTCTTCCTTCTAACTGTAGGATTGTTAGTAGCCTTATATATGGATTTATAATTCATGGTGACATGCAACTATTGTGTTCACCTTGTCCATTTGGACAATGTGGCAAGACAGGCTATTTGTGAGGCCTTTGATGGAGTGGAATGTTTCTTTTCTATCTTCTTCTCAGACTGTAATAGCTTAGATATTTTATGATATGCTGACCTAGCCAAAGTTGTAGTTCAACAGAGTGTCAGGCATCCATAAAGTATTTGCTTTTTGGCATAGGTATCTTTCCTTCTTAAGAACTTTATTGTAGTTCAATCTATGGAGATTTATGAGCACAATAGATCGTATTCAAAAAATGACTGCAAGAGTTTTGTGAAACCTGGGGACTGACTTTGATATGCTTTGATCTCACTTTTTTTGGCTATACCTTAATATTTAAGCTACCTCATCTATAAACTTGTCTTTTATGAATATAGAATATAGAATATAATTACTCCTTTTATTTATTTTTCTCTGTTTTATAAAATTCTTAAAGAATTTGGCCTTATGTAGCTTCCTTTATTTCATCACATTATATGATTAATCATCATGGTTTGATTTGTCATTTAATTGTTGCTTTAAATGGTTATCCACTGAAGGACATAATGGAGCTGGAAAGAGCACGACAATATCCATGCTTGTTGGTCTTCTTCGTCCTACTTCTGGAGATGCATTGATATATGGAAAGAGCATCTTGACTGACATGGTAATGTGGTTTCTTTATCTATTTTTGCACACAAGTTGAAGTTTTGAAGTGACAAAACTAATATTTAGTACCATCAGTCTGGTTTAGTCAATTACATTAGATGACTGGGGCCTGTCTCTTTTGTATCTGCTAATGAAACAGCGATTTTGAAAGTTAAATTCTTGCAAAAAAAAGACTAATTTTTCAAAAAGTAGCAAGAAGTTTTCTGTATGTCCTCATTGTAAAGTTTCTTTTCATTTTGTGTGAGGAGTTTTACTTGTTAAGCAAGGTAAGATTTTTAGTTTCTTACAGTCAGTTTAGCTTGTCCAACGAATATTGCATCTCAGTGGTTTTCCATGGAAAATCTCTGTGCATCTGTATTTTATTTAGTCCATGTTGTCTTTCCTTCCTGTTTCCTTTTAAAAGCTCATTTAACTGACGAAGAATAAGAGGGTTTGATGGCAAGGTAATCAGTAACTTAGTTGGGCATATGATGGCCAACCTGCCTTGCCAAATTATATGTGAATGTTTTCTGAAGTTATCACCTTGATAACCATCTATTTGATATTGCAGGATGAGATACGGAAGAGTTTGGGTGTCTGTCCTCAACAGGACATTCTTTTTCCAGAGCTAACTGTGAGTAACTATTGCTCAAATAATATCCCCAGCATTAGTACGTCATGGATATGTTTATTTCATCACGTCAACTTTAGAGTGGGAGGATTGAGGAAGTGTGGAACCTAAAGAATTGCATACTCATGGCTTTTAGTCTTTGGCCTGCTCTAATTCCAGCAGTCCACCTTTTCCTGTGCATTAAATGAAAAAAGAATTTATAGCTTTGGAGAAGGGGACAGTGATGTCTTCATGCAGGGTTGCTGGAGCTTTAGTTGTTCCTGAACCATGTTTAAGTATTGTGTTTGGAACGGTGAGCATATTATCTGGAAATATTTGCAGGTGAAGGAGCATTTGGAAATATTTGCCACCATAAAGGGCGTCGATGAAGACTCTATTGATAGTAGTGTCACTGAAGTGGTGGATGAAGTAAGTTCCCAATTGCTGTATTCTGCTGATGCATTTCTACTGATCTAGGATCGACTGTTGATTACATGATGCTGTCATACCAGACAGCTAATAAAATAGCCTGAGCCATGACCTTTTGAGAATCTTGATGTAAAACCATTTTGTATATCAATCCAACCATACAATCAGTTGAAATGAGTTTTCGTGGATTCACTTAACCAATATCCTTGTTTGGAGCTCTCATTTTTAAGACGGTCGCTTGCCTATTCTTACTAGAGCAATAACGGAGAAAACTCCTGAGCCCTTGAGGTTTCTGGTTATTTCGGTTAGCACCCCAAAAGTTTTCAATATCTCTGTAGAAGTGCACTCCAAAATTCATAGGTATTGCTGAAAACTATTTTTATTCCCAACTTGCCCTTCAATGGTCCACACTGAATTATCTATTTAACTTAAAGAAGGCCATGGGGATGTAAAACAAGGGGGGCAGGCAAAGCCTACCTGGTTAATAATTGGCGATTCCCCTTCTACCCCTTCTATTCTGCTGTTTTGTGCCCTTGTAAGTTAAACCAGTTGCTTTAATTTCTTGCCATCCATGCAAGGGTAGATGGGAAATGAAAATGCTTTTCAGCATACATTATGAATTTCCGTGTCATTGTTACTGACATAAGGTTACTTTCATAGATGAGATTTCAAATAATGGAAGGTAAGTGTAATATTGGAAACTTCGAGGGTGCCAAGTGATAGTGTTTAGAAACCTCAGGGTTGGTTTCTGAAATTATTCCTATATTTTACTCACAGCATGCATTTAGCATTACGTATATTTTGATTATTTTCTTGCTGGAATGTAGCATCTACAGCTACCTTTCCTTGACAGCTTTGCTCCTGTTTCTTTTATTAATGCTTGTAATTGGATGTTTCATTAGGTGGGACTTGCAGATAAAATTGGTACTACTGTCAAGGCTCTTTCTGGAGGTATGAAGAGAAAATTGTCCCTTGGGATTGCACTGATCGGAAATAGTAAGGTGAGTATGACTGTTGGAACGTTCTTGACTATTATGTCTTGTTAAAATGTTCTACAATCATATCATTTCACTTTCAAAGGTTATTGTTCTTGATGAACCTACAAGTGGAATGGATCCATATTCAATGCGATTGACGTGGCAATTTATAAAAAGAATTAAGAAAGGAAGGATAATATTGTTAACAACTCACTCCATGGATGAAGCTGATGTACTGGGAGATCGCATAGCCATCATGGCTAATGGTACTCTGAAATGCTGTGGAAGGTACTTTCCCCTGATCAATCTTTTGACTAACTCATTTTCACTGCTGTAACATGGTTTGGCCTTTTGTAAATTTCCTGTTTTCCGACTTGATTTAATGCGTATTCTGTTAAAGCTTGAAACAGAAAAGTTCTTTGGTAAATTTACGGTCTCAGTTGAATTACTAAATAAATGCGTGCAAGGTTTCAAAAAGTCGGTTTAATAGGAAACATGAACTTATGAGTTTATTATTTTGGGGTGCGAGAGTTAAGACATACTGTCCATGCCTCTTGCTATCAAGGATACTGTCAATGATTTGACAACAACTGAAGGTGATTTCATAGACCTGACAGCTCTACTCCATCTATTCCACTAAAATATCAAAAATTTGACCATGAAACTGGACAAGAAGATAGAGATAAAGTGTTAGAAACAGCATACCACAATCTGAATGCTATGAACACTTGATTTAGAAGAAATGGTATATATTGAGGAAGTCCTTTGGGTAATTCCTTTCCTTGACTTTGTTATCATTTCACAGTTCCCTTTACCTGAAGCACCAGTATGGGGTTGGTTACACTCTTACCTTGGTAAAGGTGAAGTCTTTTCTTATTACAAATTACTCTTTAGTCTTCAACAGTCTTTTCCATATAAAAGGCCTTCTTCCCTTTCTATTAGCCTTATGATTAACTTCCTTTTTCAGTCCGCACCATGTGCTTCTCCAGCTGCTGATATTGTGTATCAACATATTCCATCTGCAACATGTGTGAGTGAGGTATTTCTCTGTCTACATCTTGGTTTTTTTGTAAAATGATGACACATGTTTTCTGCAGTGAGAATGAGTGATAAATGACACATGTATTGATCATTGAGGTATTGCATCTGCTAATTTATTGGTGTTGATTATTACATTTTTTGTTGGTGTCTTTTTTTGGGTGCTGCAGGTTGGAACTGAAATTTCCTTTAAGCTTCCACTGTCATCCTCATCTTCATTTGAGAGCATGTTTCGAGAAATAGAGCAGTGTATGAGAAGATCAAAACCCAATGCTGAAGCTAGGGGTCATGAGAATGACGACAATATTGGTGTTGAGAGCTATGGTATATCTGTCACAACTTTAGAGGAAGTGTTCCTGAGAGTAGCAGGGGGTGACTTTGATGAGGCTGACTGCTTTAAGGAGAACAATTCTGCAGCTTCATCTGATTCTAATGTTTCTGGATCTTGTCAAAGTTATGCTCCAAACCATGTGTTCCATATCAAACAGTGCACAAACTTTTTTAAAGTTCTCGGGCTTCTAGTTACCACAGTTGGGAGGGCATGTGGTCTATTTTTTGCAACTGTTTTAAGTGTCTTTAAGTTCTTAAGTATGCAGTGCTGCTGTTGTTTTGTGCTTTCGAGGTCAACATTTTGGAAGCATGTGAAAGCTTTACTTATTAAGAGAGCAATATCAGCTAAGAGGGATCGGAAGACCATTGTCTTTCAGCTGTTAATCCCGGCTGTGTTCTTATTCATTGGTCTTCTCTTTCTCAGTCTTAAGCCACATCCAGATCAGCAGTCAATAACTTTCACAACCTCACACTTTAATCCTCTCCTGAGTGGTGGTGGAGGTGGAGGTCCTATACCTTTTGATCTCTCATGGCCTATTGCTCAGGAGGTTAGTAAATTCTTTCCAACTTCACGTGGACTATCAACTGTCTCTGTTCAATGAATAACATTTTGCCACCTTGTTTGTGCTATCTTTGTAGGTTGCAAAGCATCTGAAAGGGGGCTGGATCCAGAGGGTAAAAAAGACTCTGTATAAGTTCCCTGACTCTGAAATGGCATTGAATGATGCTATTCAGGCTGCAGGGCCCACTTTGGGACCAGCCCTTCTTGAAATGAGTGAATATCTAATGTCCAGTTTTAATGAATCTTATGAGTCAAGGTGCGTGGTATTGAGTTTTAGGGGTAGTGCATGATTGTGGACAACTCTTTTAGCATCTCTCTTGTTTCCTTTCTCTGATTTGTAGTTCTTCCCTGATTGCATATGAAATTAAGTACATGATCAGTTTTAATTGGTTTTATTTTCATTCTTCTTGTATCATGAATTTAACACATTATATGTCTCAGTAGCTGTTATGGTTATCTAGAATAAAATTTTTTTACCATTATTTTGTTTCTGCTGCTTGATCAAGTAGAATTAAGTTTCTTCTTTATTATCTTTTTCATCCTTCAATCTAACCTCTTTCAGACAAAGTTGATAAGTTTGTTTACTGGCCTTATGATATTAGTTGTGTTGCAATTAAATAGATCATGCTTGCAACGAGATATTTTTATTGAATATTTAGTTGGTTGGGATAAAGTGTATTAACTGCAGATATCTACTGGCCTTATGATATTTAGTAAATAACCACAAAGGGGTTTCAGGGATGCTCTCAGAGCTTGTTTATGAGCTTTTACAACTCGGTTTATGTAATAAAAGGAGAAAAAAATACAGACAATGATGCAATTAATTGAAGACTAAATTAGTTGAGGTTGGGTTGTCTTTTTGATACCATACCTTCCGTATTTTGTGCGACATCTATTTCAAACTGAGTCGCCTAGTTTGACTCAGCATGCAGTTTTTAAGATAGGATTTGTAAAAATACAATATGAATAACAAAGTAAATATTGTCTTTTTCAATTTTGTTTCCTTTTATTTGGCAGAGGGAGGGGAGAGGTAGTAAAGCAGTTTGGTCATATAGTTTTCATTATTACTTTTCATAGAATTAAGAAAACTCTGGCGTGCATCAATGAACCTTTTAACAAATGTTGGAAGAGTAAAACATTTCAGTTCAGAAAAGTCAACATTGTTCTCTGATGCAGTAAAGGAAAGTAGCAAATTATCACATTTGGTTTGGCAAGGATAAAGTACATTTTGTTGAGAGCTTGTATTGAAGTCGTAATATTGTCCTTCTGCCTTATCTAATATGATCTTTTGAAACCTCTAAATGTTTCTTTCATTATCTGTTGTTCTCTTATCAACTTCGTGCACCCCTTTGCAGGTATGGAGCAATTGTAATGGACAATCAGACTGATGATGGGAGGGTGGGTTATACTGTCCTGCATAATAGTTCTTGCCAGCATGCTGCTCCAACATTTATCAATCTGATGAACTCAGCAATACTCAGGCTGGCTACCCTCAACGAGAATATGTCAATAACGACACGGAATCATCCTCTGCCACTGACAGAAAGTCAGCATCTGCAGCGTCATGTATGGTTTGCTATTACTTAATCATTTAAAATACCCTAGAAATGGTAAAATAGTTTCTTGAAGCTGAGGTCTTTATTTCATGAGTCTATTAACCATACCTTTGGATGGATTGCTAGTTACTTGTTTGAATATATATTATAGGCCACCTTACAAACAATATGCCAGTCTTTTTGGATGTATTCACCCTATAGATATCTTAAAATCATGTCTTCCTTTCTGATCTTGAAGCTTTGAGTTTGAAGTTGGAGTCATTTCATGGCTTTTTAATACTCATTAGCTTCATAAAAGAACTTTTGTTGTGAACTTTGTTCTGGATTTATTAGTGCACATTTTATTGTGCACTGTCCATTGTTGAGTTTGACGCTTGGTGGCTCAAAATGATTTATAAACAAACCCTCATCACAACGTTATTGACTTTTATTCTCATAAAGATATCCACAGGTTGTCATGTATTCATTACTGTCTCTCTGCTGAAAATTTTAATTTTGTTCCATGTGATTCTCTGTAATTAATTGTATCTGACTTGTGTTCATTTTCACATGATACTGTGTTGTTTTGCAGGATCTTGATGCGTTCTCAGCTGCTATTGTTGTTAACATTGCCTTTTCATTTATTCCGGCCTCTTTTGCTGTGGCTATTGTGAAGGTAATTTGCCTTAGCTCATTCTTGAAAATGATAATTGTGATGGTTTTGTTCTCAGGAACAGGTTTGTAAGTGATATATAAAGAGAAGACCCAGTGTTTTCCTGAACTTTCTAATAGTCTTGGAGGCAAAATTAAGGCAAGAGGGAAAAAAATTATGCAAGTTTCATTTTTCTTTTTTGCTGACTGCCTGGCTAGTTGAAATTTTGTCAATTATTCCATATTACAAAGGGATAAAAATTTCAAAGTAAATTAATTACTGCCACTTGAAAACCAAAAATTTAAAATATTTTTAAGCTCACTGGAAGTTCTCATTCGAAATCTTTTTTCCTAATCAATAACTGAACCTAGGGTCTTGGCTTTGCTGCTGGGTGTAAGAGCATTGGCACTAAATTTAGTTCTATAAGTTTCCTATTGTATATTACTTTTGTCAGTCACTGAAAGTTAAAGTTGTTACCCATAATATGCAAGGATCCCAAAGTTAGTTACTAAACTCGCTATCATCACTTGCTATTTGAGGTTCCCATATTGCAAAAAATTGGAGAACTTCTATTATAACTCATTGATGAATTTAGTATTTATTATGAATTTCTAATGGTTGAAACTTCTAAGACAAATTGACTTTGATGCAGGAACATGAAGTAAAAGCCAAGCATCAGCAATTGATTAGTGGGGTATATTCAGTTTCTACGAAGTTTCCAGTTTCTGGAATTATTGCTATGCTTTGTTTTTGTGGTTTTGTTCTTTTTAACAGTCAATTAAATGCAGGTATCTATATTGGCATATTGGGCTTCAACATATATGTGGGACTTCATCAGCTTTTTATTTCCTTCATCAATTGCAATTATTCTCTTTTCCGCATTTGGTATGTTCTTGATCTTTGCTGTCTACATGTTCCATGGACAGTTGGAGGAAAATTGCTTGCGTAATTAATTGCCTGCTACGTTCTCGGTTGAATGTCCTTGCTTTTACTTCTGTTGTTAGAGTTACTTTTCAGATGCCTTAATGCCATGAAAGGAATCACAGTTAACAAAAGTTAGGATGAAAGTGAAAACAGATAATCAGCCTGCATTGACTGGAGAAAGGTTCAAACATAGCTGAAAATTATGTTATTTATTTTCCTTTTTGCGTCCCAAAAACATTTCATGACTAGTTCAGTAAAGCCTCGATGATGTTGAGATTGGGCATCTTGTTTGATGGTTGGGTAATATTGAGAACTTATTTGGGATTGTGGTGCTTTTACTAAAAAGGTACTTCTAGGCAATACAACCACTTATAAGGTGTTTGGTAAGCATCATTCTGTAAATTTAGGAGTACATTTGTTATCTCAAAAGGACGTTTAGCACATAAAGTTTGTCCGTTTTATCATAATTTCGAACTGAATAAAGGGATAAATACATTTTAATAATTTCAACAACTACATATTATCAAGTAGAAAAACCACTTTTGCAAGTATTCATTTCAAACAATATAATTAAACACTTCATTCTTTTACCACAAACCCTACTAGGGGAAGCTCTTTCTAATTGGCCACCGCAACCCCAAAGGCACACGACATCTCTAATAGCAATTTCTAGAGCATTTAATGTTTCATTTCATCATCCTAACTTCATGTTTTAACTGTTTCATTGGTATTTTTGAGGGTTGTGATGGAAATATAAATTTAAGGTGTCCTAGAGTAACTCACAAAGCAAACCCTGTGGAATAGTTCAAAGCAAACCCTGTGGAATAGTTTAGTCCTAGCTTTTTATTCTTTTGTTCCTAAAAACTAATCATGCAAGTCCTCTTCTTTCTTTTATGTTTCCCTAGTTAAGAAGACAACTTAGCAAACTAAACAAAACTTTCTGGACTGCTGAAGCTGTTAAGATGGCTAAATATCGTACCACTGAATTGCTATGAGCTTATATAAGAATACAATCTATCCTTTGCTTAACTTATTGTCTGCATCTTACTTAAATGCTTCTATTTTTTTATTTTTTTTTACTGTTTAGCCGGGGCCGTCCTTGTTGCTTAAAAGTTGATTCATGCTTTTTAAGCTAAAATCTGCTTTTGAGGTGTTTTCATTTGGTTTTGACTTGGGCTTTAAGCTTATATTAGCTGAAAAAGTTGATCCCATGAGCAACGCAGGACAGCCTTCTTAGAAGAACTTTGCTTTTTAAAACTGACAAAACAGAAAAACCATATCAACTAGCAGTTTATATTGGAAATACCATTTCAAGTGATGGAAATAAGATGTTGGTTTATTTTATGGGAAATACTAGTAGCTTTTCTCAAACTTCTTTAATTCTTTGGTGTAAACCTTCATATTTCCGCTTCCTCTTATAAGTTCTGTTATTTCATGTTCCCACTGTTTGTGGCTATCTACAAATTGAAAATTTTTTCTTTTGCAGGTCTTGAGCAGTTTATTGGAAAAGAATCCCTCTTCCCCACCATAATGCTGTTACTGGAATATGGACTAGCAGTTGCATCATCAACCTACTGCCTTACCTTCTTCTTCTCGGAGCACAGCCTCGCACAGGTATCATTCTGCTGTCAAATGTTTAAAGTTTGAACTTTTCTGCCTATTTGACACTAACATTGTATATCTACAAGCAGAATATAGTTCTGTTGGTCCAGTTCTTCAGTGGGATTATCCTCATGGTTGTATCATTCATAATGGGGCTTATGAAGTCTACAGAGCGGGCCAATTCCCTTCTCAAGGTTTGCATGCATAGAGCAGCAACATGTTTTTTATTACATCATTTTTCAAAGCAAACTGATTCCTCAAGATTAGCATTTGATGTTCTGAAAGAGTCAATTGATGGACTTTCGATTGGATTTGTTTACAAATGGGATGATGATTATGCAACTTATGTCATTAGTCTTTTTAAGGGTATAGCTATTTTTTCATACATTCAGTGAATGTTTCCTACATTTTGGTTTATGCCTTTGTCACCTCCAAGTTTTTGAGTTCCAACAAGTTGAATAACTTTTGATGGTTTTAACATCTTGTCACCTCTTTACAGTCCTATCTATGATACTTGTTGAACTCATAAGAGGTAAACCAATTATTAGATGTTTCTCATGGGCGGTGGACAGATTCTGTCACTTTGTCTTTTATCAAGAAAATTGTGTGCTGGAGACTTCAAAATCGTGTAGATAAATTTATCCTAATGAAGTTCTAGAAAAATGATAGTGACTCGGACTTTGTTCTTCTCCAGGGCAATATGTGACTGCTTAGAAATTTTCACTAACTTAAAAGATTGTGCCAAGGGTTATGACTGGTGATCTTAAAAGCCTTCACACTCGGATATTGAGCTTACTAACTATCGTATTTGTATCTTCCAGAACTTCTTCAGGTTGTCACCGGGATTTTGCTTTGCCGATGGATTATCTTCATTAGCTCTTTTACGACAAGATATGAAGAATGGATCTGGTAGTAGAGTTTTTGACTGGAATGTGACGGGTGCTTCCCTTTGTTACTTGGCTGCAGAGGTGCTGTTCTGATCTTATGGCATGAGATTATCTTGCTTCTGTGTACTACTAATCAGTGTTTAAGCAAGATATAACGTTTTTCTGGGAATCATATAGTGGTCTTGCTAATTTTTAGGTTTGCTTATGTGGTCACGCTTTTCTCAAGTAGAAATTATCACTCTTCAGCCCTATGGGACGAGTTTTCTCATCATTGAGATTGCATGATTATAGTTCCAGAAATCTACATTTTAACTTCAAAATTGTTGGGAGATAGGTTCTAAAATACTAGTTTGCAGTTATTTTCTGCTCTTTCAGTTTTACATAAAGCCTCACACTTTACTAGTAATTGAACAAGTCTTTTTCATTTTGCAAGAGGGGGATTAATGGATGTTATAGATTGAATTTTCAGTGGAGAAGCTGCAGAACTGGAATTGGATACTAATGGCTGGTGTAGCACTGATTTTAGGTGCTTTAAACAAGTTTGAAGTGCTTGAGTCTTTAGAGTGTTGCTAGCCTAGCTGGTAGGGAGATTAGCCAGGTGAAAGTAAGGTCCTTGGCTCAATTCTCAAGCCTCGCCTCTTGCCCTTTACCCTTGTAAGGCTTGGAGTCTTCCCTTGAACCCAAAAAAAAAAAAACAAATTGCTGTCCTTTCTTTGCCTGTTTGCTTAGGCCATTATTGATCTGTAGCTGCGATTGATGAAGGCAGATAGAACAATTCTACCTCAATTATCCTATTTCTCAGGGCAGATAGAGCCTAGTCATTTTATTAAGATCTTTCATCTGTTGGTTTGTCGCCAGGTTTTCTGCTACCTATCTCTGAAGTATCTATGTTGGATGTCTTGCTGCTATCATACCACGTAGCAATGCATAGCTGGACTGTCCTTGATTGACAGCAGTAGTTTCTTAACATATGAAGTGCACTGGATCTCTCAAGCTTAAGCATTGAAGTTTCATCAATGAATTCAAACTTAAAAAATTGAAAATGTCTAAAACTTTCTTAAAGGGGAAGTGGATGCTTTAAAGAGTGGACAACTCTGTGAACTCAACTAGGTGATTAAACAAAAGGAAGTAGACAGTTTCAATGGTTTAGATAACATAGGATCATGGCTTTTGATATTCAGAATTTTGAGTGGATTAGTGGATCAATAGGTTTTGGTAGCATGCATTATTGTTCTGGTTTATATTTCGAGCATATGAATTTTTTATTCTTTTTTTATCTGTACTGATTGGTCATTCCTCTTACAGGCTGTCATTTATTTCCTTCTAGCACTTGGCCTAGAGCTCTTGCCACCTCACAAGATAAATTTAGCCACAGCTTATGAGTGGTGGATGAGTATTAAACTTTCACTTGCAACTTCTGGCAGTTTGTCAGAGCCACTTCTGAAATCATCCACAGGAGATGTTGCTCTTAAAGTTGATGAAGACATCGATGTCCTTACAGAGAGAAATAGGGTACTCTCAGGTTCAATTGATGGTGCGATCATATATTTGCGCAATCTGTGCAAGGTATTCCATGCAACCTTTCTATTCACTGTAACATTAGTGTATCTTTTTGTAAGAATGAATATAGCCCGTAAGGGTCTTTCTTTCAACTCAGTATGTGGTTTGATTCCTACTGTCCATAGCCGGTTCATGATTCTTCTTCTCCTATACTAAAATGTCCTCCAACCCTCCAAATGTATAAACAAGTTAAAGAGAATCTTGATGAATTTCTTAAAGTTACCAGTAATATATTTCTTGTTTTAGGTTTATTCGGGAGGAAAGCACAGGCTAAAAGTAGCAGTTGATTCATTGACTTTCGCAGTTCAGGAAGGAGAGTGTTTTGGCTTTCTAGGAACCAATGGAGCAGGGAAGACAACCACCCTGTCCATGCTTTCTGGTATTAAATATGCTTTAGCAGTGACAGTTTAATTTACAAAAAAGACCTCAATTTGTTTAATTTGTAGGAAAACAAAGCAATTTCTCAGTTAGCAATGACTTCTCTCTGTTCAACCTGATGACGTGTTGCATTATAACGTCATATAACAATGCTGCAGCTGTCACCGGGAAATTTTTTTTTTTCTTTAATCCTACTGCCTGGCATGCAATTTCACATGTCGTTTGCATTCTTCTTATTAACCCCTCAGCATGCACACTTTGAATATTTTGTAATGGCTGAAGGTGAGAGCTGAACCCTAAACATCTGCCTGGGTTACGTTACTGAATTACTGTATCATTCTAAAGCTGAAACTATGTAGAGGGGTGAATATTCTTTGATACACTTTTTAGACCTGCCTCATGTGTGGGCTAAATATTCTTTGATAGGCCAAGTATGTGCAAGCAGGAAGAGGTGTGGTTTTCAGAATTGATAACTGGATCTTTGCTAACTATTCTGCTACCATATAAAGTTATCAACTGTTTCAAAAGGTAAAGGTGTTAAGAAGGAAAGTCGTTTTATTGTTTGTCTAATCTAGGATGCCTGCTCGTGTAGTCTGGCTTGTTTAAATGAGCCCAACACCTGGATGCAGTCTTTGGCTTAGATGTGCATATGGACATTGATAGACATAAAACTCTCAGCAGCATATGTATGTCTTTCTGGGATTTTTTATCTCTAAACTTCTCTGGTTTGGGTTAAACAAGCTACTTGGGAAGAACTTTAAACACATATACTTCTGTGAAGCACATCTGGATTTTGCCAAGAATGTGTATCTCACAGCATAGACTGTAAGCTTCATACTGATTTGGGTTCTCTAAGTACCTTCTTGTATCCTTCTTTTTCATTTTTTTGGATAAACAGGGAATGAGAGGTAGTCGGATACTATTCCCACTTAATAAATCTTTTCTTGGTTGGATGAATATTTCAATGCAGGAGAAGAACATCCAACTAGTGGAAAAGCATTTATTTTTGGCAAAGACATAGGTGCGAACCCAGAGGCTGCTCGTCGTCTTGTAAGTCTTGATTTTTTTGTTTATTTGTGCTTTATCTAATCTCTAAATTCATCAAGTCAACTTTTGCCTGGCTAACATATAGAACTTTTTTCTTGATGTGTCAGATTGGTTATTGTCCTCAATTTGATGCGCTACTAGAGTTTCTCAATGCTCAAGAACATCTTGAGCTCTATGCCAGAATAAAAGGAGTTTCAGAATTTGAGCTCAAAGATGTATGCCCTTCTTGATGCTTTTAAATTACGTCTCATCCATTTATTTTTTATTTTTATTCTTGTGAGCAATTGATAGTGAAATTCTGAGAAGTTCATGGACCTATATTGCTGTTATTTTGTCATGGGGAATTATCATCTTAATGCTAGGAGCCAACCTCTAGAAGGATAACCTTGGTGTAACTGTAATGTCTTTCCATTTTGACTTTGAGGCATTGGTTTGATTCAAAACTTTTGGCCTGTTTGCTTGCAGGCAAGAGACACACATACCTACCTACTTTATTGGTGTTTCACATGGATAATTTTTTGGTGGTTTAGGAAGAAGATGCTTTCCATGTTAACGAACTAAACTTATAAAGAGATTTGCAAAGGTTTTGCTACTTAAGTATTATGAATTAACAGCCTTGACTTTGGAGGGACAAATATGAATTGGAAAGTTGATGCTATTTGGGCTATAAAAAGCATTACTTGGAAAGTATACTTTCATTTTCCCATATTTATCTTCTATCTGTGAAGGTTGATATTGAATAACTTTTGCATGGGCACAACTCTAAACAAATTAATGTCCTGAGTTGATCTATGAACACTGCTGTAAATCAAAAGATTTCCTATGTGTATTGTTATGAATAGTTGATTATTATTTATTTTTCTTGTCCAATGTTAAATGCATTTTGTCTTGTGGACAAACCAAACCTTCAAGCTTGGTGAACAAATTACGAACTATATGTTATTTGGTTTTACGTACCTTTTCTAGTGCTTATTAAAAAAAGAATTCATCCTGAACTTCATATTTTATCATTATTTCCCAACATCCATGGAGACAATTCAGTGCTTCTTGTTTGGGATGAGGAATAGATGTATCTTATCAAGTTCAGGACTAGAATGAGTCAATTTCATTATAGTAAGATCCAAGAGTCTGAAAACTGTGACACTATTTTTTTAATCTGCCATCTGAATATCAGTTGTGGCTCTACAGCATCAATGATTAATGCTGGTAAGAACGTTAAACAGGTTGTTAGAGAAAAACTGGTAGAGTTTGATTTGCTGAAGCATGCCACTAAACCATCGTTTGCCTTAAGTGGGGGAAACAAGCGTAAACTATCTGTTGCAATCGCAATGATCGGAGATCCCCCCATTGTCATTCTTGACGAGCCATCAACTGGTAATTAATTCTTCTGATGTTAGTTTGTGTGTATTGTGATTAGTATTCTTAATGCCCATTAGTTTTTCCCTTCATCTTCTTTTAGATATTAAAAAGCTTCTACCATGCATATACCCATTATAATACGCTTGTGCTAGTACAGCTGTGGGGTTTCATCTCACCTGAATATCAGGAAAAGTCATTCGGCAAGTGTAAGATTGCTTTCTATGATAAACAACTTAATTGTTGTTACAAAGAGAAACCTAATAGTCTAATCCTCAATGTAAAATAGTTCTCATGCTGAGTATCGTGCATGGTCTGCCTCTAGGTTAGGTAAAGATCAGTGTTAGCTCCTTGTCTTGCTGCCATAGTCTGTCCAGAACTTAAGAAGCAGTTGCCAGGCTTGTAGTAGTCATTTGATTCTTTGTATTCGTATAATTCTTACAAAAGATGGTCTTTTACACAGCATTTTTATCCTCTATTTTAATATTTTACTGTCACATCCTTCTTTCACTCTCCAGCAGAATTATGCTTCAGCTTCTACCATTTATTTTCTGATGCTTAACCAATATTTAATGCCACAATTACTTTAGGTATGGATCCTATTGCCAAACGATTCATGTGGGAGGTTATATCCCAGCTATCAACCAGACGAGGAAAGACAGCTGTCATTCTAACTACTCATAGCATGAATGAAGCACAAGCTCTGTGTTCTAGGATTGGGATCATGGTATGTCCTGTAGCATTTAGCTTGTCTATGATATGTATATAATTGAAATCTTGTAGTGCTAACTTGTACCCCTCCCACAAAAAAAATTCTGCTTTTTCTTTGTTAAACACAATGTCAAAGGTTGGAGGCAGGCTTAGATGCATTGGAAGTCCTCAGCATCTAAAAACGAGATTTGGGAATCATCTTGAACTAGAGGTATTTTCTTAGTTAAATTGTTTGTCCATGGTTTCTTTGTGGCTAGAAATCTTATATTTCACCAACAGGTCAAACCTACAGAAGTAAGCATCATGGACATGGAAAATCTATGCCAAATAATACAAGAAAAACTCTTCGATGTTCCATGTCATACAAGAAGTATACTTGGTGACCTTGAAGTTTGCATTGGAGCAAAGGACACTATAGCATCAGAAAGCACATCAGTTGCAGAGATTAGCTTATCAGAGGAAATCATAGTTGCAATTGGACGATGGCTTGGGAATGAAGAAAGAGTACGGGCTCTTGTATCTGCAAGTGCGAGTAATGCTTCATCTGGGGCTACTGGTGAGCAGTTATCAGAGCAGTTGGTCCGTGATGGTAAGTCCATGCCTTTCATCAATCTATTAGTTTCACACAATTCAAATATCACTGTAGTGTTGTTTTTGGTCATCGCTTACGCTTGCAGTCTCCCCTCCCCATAGAAATTGACAATTGCTTCATAACTGAGTGGATATGATCCTTTTCCTGGATGAATCTAATATCTTAATCTACAATCATATACTTTGAACTTTGTGTTATGCAATTAATATGTGCTCACCAAATTTAAATGGTGCAGATCAATTTAAATAATTGAGCAGCTCTGGTTTCTGACTCTTCCTCTCCCAATGCCAAATTTACACCCTGGAATTTTCTTCTTTTTTTCATCTCTGGGTTGGTTAATAAGCCCAAGGCTTTCGCTTTATTAAATACTAAAGCTGTTGCAATTCATGACTATAGGTGGTATCCCACTGCCTGTATTTTCGGAGTGGTGGTTAACCAAAGAAAAGTTCTCTGCTATTGATTCATTTATCCAATCATCATTTCCTGGCACCACATTTCAAGGTTGCAATGGATTGAGTGCTCAATATCAGGTATGACTTGTGCAAAATTTTTTGCATTTACTCTGTTTGTTTTAGAATATGTTAGCCTGCCACTCTTACATCAAGACTCCTAGTTTTATTTGCTGATGAATATGAATGCCCCTTTTTTCTCCGGTAGAATAAAGGAGCTTTTAGATATATAGTAGGAAGTAACAGAAATGAGTAGTGTATCCCAATTTTCCTGTTCTCTACTTGTATTTTGCAGTATTATAGTCAGTAGATGTAGATGGTGAGCATGAGGTGTATTTGTCTATTCGCCAGAACAAGAAGTAAACAAATTTGTTTTGTTGTTTTAAAAACACGCAGTGGCACCTGAGTTACTAGAAACAGCTTTCCTTGCTTTTTTCTTCCCATTTAACTTGAATCGAGAACAATTTTACGTAAACTGAAATTTAAAATCTATTTACAGGGTTTCCTTATCCTTTCGAGGAACATTCAAATTGTTTCATCCTCAGATTTGAATCTTGTGGTTTATGCATGACTGCAATCTTGTTTTAACGTCATCTTAAGATTGTCATAAGAAATTTATGGTGATCAGTGGGATGAACATAATTGGTTTTGAATCCAATAGCTATCTTCTCCTACTAATCTGGAAGGATGAATTAGACTTCCAAGATGAATTGCATTATGGATTCACATAATTCTTAAATGAAACTAAGTTGTAACTAACCAGAAAGCTTGACTTGTATGCCTAGGTATATAGGGGATGTGCAAATTGATTATGTGCAGCAGCAGGAGCATTTAAAAAGAAAAAAAATGCTAATGCATCAACTATTCAACTCGTACATACATTTTGTGGAAGCTTGCTTTTGGATCTTTAATTAGTTGATGATTTATCTTCAAAATGTTGCAGCTGCCTTATGAGGAAGACCTCTCTCTTGCTGATGTTTTTGGTCACCTAGAGCGTAACAGGTGCAGTAATTACTCTTCGTGAATTATCAGCATTTTCTAAAGCTTTTGGTACTGATCACGTGTACTTTTTCATCTCTGCAGAAATTTACTGGGCATCAAAGAGTACAGTATCAGTCAATCAACACTAGAGACAATCTTTAACCATTTTGCTGCTGCTAACACATGAAATAAATACTATTTAGCATAACCTTAAGTGGAAGCTAATCCCTTCTTGTTTTTAGAGTTTGAAGGGTCTTTTTCTTCCAATATATATGGTAATTTTGCTGCAAGCAGTGGAGGAATTCCCCTTGATGCAGATAGAAGATTCGCTATAGGCATTTCTGTCCTCTCCACTAGGAGTATTTTACCAATAAATGTATTGCCTTTCACAGATTACTGTGGAAGTATAAATCTGTCTTATATAATGGAACTTTTTCATTGCTTTATCTCATCATTCATACTCAGTGTTTCTTCCTACCCTTTTCCCTCTCATTGTAGGTTTTTTTTTTTTTTTGTTGTTGTTGTCAATTTTGGTTTTCATTAAGACCAAGAGAAAGAGGTACAGATGGTGGTGAAGCTTTCTCCAAATACTATAAAATAACCCAAGCAATTAACTTAGTTGAAGATTTAACTCGGGTAGCAACAACGAAGGTATCAGGCACCAATGAAGTTTGGCCAAACTTTGCCAACACAAGTTGTCTTAGTTGGTAAGGATGGGAAATTTCATCACAAAAGTTATGTGTTCGAATTTCGCCATCGATGTGAGAACTGTGTCAGTGGGTCATTTGTAAAAATCTCTATAAATGACCTATGTTTTTGAGGCTATGCCATAATTTGTGGTGGTGTTTGAGTCGGTAATAATCAGTTTTAAATTTCACCATCGATGTAAGAACTGTATTAGTGAGCGATTTGTAAGAATTCTTATAAGCGACCTATGGTCTCGAAACGATGTCAGTTTTGAATTTCACTATCGATGTAAGAACTGTGCTAAGCGACCTATGGTCTCGGAATGATGTCATACTCCATGGTGGTGTCTGGGTCAGCAATAATTTTGGTTGTCAAATAATAAAACATCAATAAACAATTTTTCCTAGTTAAGATCAAATGTTGGACCTTAGAAGTTATACAATTCAAGCTTCCCTTGGACTTATCCAGCAGCTTGTACGTGCATGAGCTAGATATGGCGTCAGTATTATGCAAGAAAGTGAAGAAAACATAACAATCTACTAATTTCTAAATTCTTTGGCTATTCTTCTTTGGTGGTGGGGGCAACTGACTTAGATTTAGGTAGAAGTTTTAGATTAATGGAATTCTCTACCTTCTAGTCTTTACAATAAAATCAAAGCGTGGCTCTCACGCTCTTGGAAATTCCAACACACTTGTCTAAGTTCTGGTTATTGGAAAATAGTGTGATTAAAGGGTTGATTACACTTTTCGTCCACGTAATTTTGACATTTTAACACATATTAGATCACCCTCAACTAATTTATTTAAGCCTTTTGACACCTTAAGTTATTCTTTTATTATTGATCCAAATTTTCCGAGATTATGATATTGATGCTTTAATCATTAATTTTTTTTTTGCTTAATCATTAATTTTGCCAATCTCATGAATCATGATTTCGAATTATAACGTATTATAACTTATTTCGTTTCAATAACGATGGAATTTCAAAATATGTATAATTGGATATTGGCCAGTGTAAAATTCAATATTGAACGAATGATTAAATGCTTAGTCTTTCGTCAAAAGTAGATGTGGATACAGGAAACTGGGATTTTTCAAGCTGATTAGGTCATGAGTTTCTGATTTCTAAGGATCCAACAGTTCCATTCAACACCAACTTCACCCAACCAATGTACATACACATATTGGTAATCTTTTAGATAACAGATTGGTAAGGAAAAAAAATTAAAAAAAAAAAAAAACAGTTCATGTGAACAAATATAGAACCAGTTTTAGGTTCAATTAGACCTAAGACTAAAACCCTTTTTGTTTTTTTGGTTTGGGTATTTTTCAAAATTCAATTTGAGTACCTCATTATTGCTACCTCAACAATGTGGAAAAGGAGACCAAGACTTTGTTGTCATCCTTCACATTTGTTTTGGAAGCTAGGATATCCACAACAAAATTCCAACCCTTCACATGGACAAAGCTTTTGAAAGAATCACATGAGTCATTCATCTAATTCTCAAACATTACCTAATTTAAGAGTCAAAATTTGCAGAGTTTGAGCTTTGAAATATCTGTAGTTGCACTAATCAAATGTGTCCCATATACCCACTCCAAACATATAGTCGCAGTCAAAAGAAGAACATCTCTTTCCACAACCATCTCATCATTTGTTTCAACTTGAAATTGTCTCTTTTTCTTTTTGCTTCTTAAGAGAGAAAAGGAATGATATGCACATATGCACACATACAACATTACCAACTAATTTTAACGTAAAGGGTATTTTTAAAAACTTGAAAAAAAAATAAAATCTCAACACATTTCAGATTTTATGCAAGGTTTTCTTGGTTTTAGAGGGTAGAAACAGCAAACCAACAACAAGCAAACAGAAACCAGAAACAAAGAATCAAAGCTATAACTAACATATGGACTTTAACCATGTACATCACCAAGTCTGCGCACTAAATTTTTTATATGAGCTGTTTTGTGTTGACAACATGTGTTGAACAGAATTTTGTCAATGCTATTACACGTTTTTATTTGTTAAAGATGTAGACTTAGATCATATCATAAATTCTACTTTCACAAAGTACATATGATGCGTAGACCAAGGAGGTAATATCTAACCTGTTTGATAATCCAATTCAGTACTTGAGTTTAATGAAGTCAGATTTTAATATGTTCGGGTGCATTTAAGAGTTAAAAATAGAGCATCTGAATTAATTAAGTGACAAGTTTACTAAAAAAAAAGTGATAGACTATTTACTTATCGCTTATTAACTTATGGATTAATCTTTTCTACATACACTATCAACGTTGGATGAATGACAACTATGCAAAATTTGAATTTGAAATTCAATTTTTGCACACATGTCATGAATCAAACGATGATAGTATATACACTGTCAGTGTATATAAGATTTATTCTTAACTTATTACTCAATGTGATGTACAATCAAATATATCAGATTTAACAATTGGGTAACTTAACGGATTTAGATTTCAAATCTCAATTTTATCCCAGGCAACCAAGAACTTAACTCCAATAGTTCAAACTATAAGTGGACAAAATCAGCTACCAAAAAAGAAAGACCAAAAACAGAAGGCGATAACTTGAAGTCATCGTGATGTTAGGTGCCATTCTTGGAACAGATATTCTAATTCAATGTACAAAGGTGTCTATTCCACAATCTGCAAATCCTGTGAGTTTGACTTAGTCGAATATTTTGCCTCAGTATTTCAAGCCAAAATATGTGGTTGTTTTTCAGAAATTGTCACAGTCGATGCTCAACAAAAGTCAAGAATTGTAAGAAATTCATGCAAATAAACCACACGGAATGTGAAACAATGGCTGCAATTGGAAGTAATTTCGTGAGAACTGAGATCCATCTAGAAGCTCTTTAGTGCTTCATTGCTTCTAGGTCCTGGTTTCTGAGAGTCAGGTATTTTGGTCACAATAACCCTTTTGAAAAAAAAAGCTGTTGTCTCAATCTTAATTATTTTCTGCTTTTACATTTCCCTTTATAACTATACTCTGTATTGCACATAATAGACAATTAATCATTTTGTTTACATTCTCAAATCAAATTGAATATACAGTGGGATGACAATCCGGTCGCTTCGGGTCATTTAGATTAGGACATTAATAACTTACATGTTAGAAAATCATGCCATTGATAAGTTACATGTTAGAAAATCTCAATTCACTACTTAGCTGTGCTATTATGGTATATTGATAATGACGCCAATTCTCCTGGATTAATTATATCATTAGCTTCACTTTTTCATGATAACATTCGTATTTATCTACTTAATCTTACATTCAGTACTTGTACAACATTATTTATTTACTTTACATTCTAATGTAGCTAGTAAAAGATAAAAGGGCAAATTAGATTAAAACCCCCCTTTAGTTTTAAAAACTATATATAACTCCCTCATAATTTAGATTAAAACGTCAAAATAACGGAAATGATCATCTATAATGGAACCTATGAAAATGTTGAAATTACCCTAATTTAAAAACTAAAATGGATTAAGTGACCAAAATATATAAACATAATATGCATGACACTCTAACCCCGTATGATTTTATATTTTACCATATAACCCCTTATGATTTAGTACTTTACCATATAACTAGGGGTGGCAATTTGCAACACGACCTGAAAACACGACACGAACCTAACACGAAATTAATGGGTTTGGGTTGAGGTTTCGGGAATTCGGGTCAGAATCGGGTTGAACCCGATGAACCCGAAAAGAAAACAGGTCGATTTCGGATCAACCCGTGGTGACCCGATTTGACCCGTTTACGAATTAAAAATAATTTAATAAACATAAAAATAATTTTATCTAACTAAACTAAGTTATTCTTTTTTTCAAAGGCATTAATTACTTAATCCTAAATGAATTTATTTAATTTGTGTGAAGTTGAAATTATTATATTTGGACAAATAATATATTATATTATTTTTTACTTTTATACTGTTTTAATTTATTTTATATTTTGTTTGGGATAAAACACTTTTACGGTGTTTAATTTATTTTAGATTTGGTTTGGAATTATTTATTTAAATTTTATTACTTGATTATGTAATTAGTTTTGTGAGAAATTAATTTTATTAGAAATTACAGTGATAAATTAATAAATTAAAATTAAGTTTCGGGTCATTTCGGGTCGACCCGCCAACCCGTCAACCTGAAATTTTCGGGTTCGGGTCAGTATACCTGACCCGTCACGGGTTGGCGGGTCGGGTTCTGGTCAACAGATTTTCTGGCCCGACCCGCCAACCTGAATTGGACCCGAATTGCTACCCCTACATATAACCCCCTTATAGTTTTCAATATATATACATAACCCGGTACAAGAAACAGAGAGTAATTTACAAATTAATGATTTTTTAAAGTTTGAACCATCTTCACAGTTCATTCCTTTTTAATACATTGCAAAAACACAAATCTAATACTTAATTAACTGAGAGATTTCCAACAAAATAAGTGCACTTATTTGCACGATTGAAACAGAATAACTTGAGCATTTCTACTGATCTCAGCAAACTTTCTCTTCCTCTCTATCTCTCCTTGAACTTCCAATCTCACACCAAAAAGTTTTGGCCTCTCATCAAACTCATCATTATCAACAATAGAGCCATCATTCTTCTCCCCAGCCTGGTCAGCATACACGGCCACCAAGTCAAGCAACTCCTTGCATTTCTTCTTCATGGTGGAAAGTTCACTGCTCAAGACTCCATTCTCCCTCTTAAGTCGTTTATTCTCATCAAT